GTTGTGTGTTGTGTGTTGTGTGTTGTGTGTTGTGTGTTGTGTGTTGTGTGTTGTGGGTTGTGTGTTGTGTGTTGTGTGTTGTGTGTTGTGTGTTGTGTGTTGTGTGTTGTGTGTTGTGTGTCGTGTGTCGTGTGTCGTGTGTCGTGTGTCGTGTGTTGTGTGTCGTGTGTCGTGTGTTGTGTGTTGTGTGTTGTGTGTCGTGTGTCGTGTGTTGTGTGGTGTGTGTTGTGTTGTGGTGTGGTGTGGTGTGGTGTGTTGTGGTGTGGTGTGGTGTGTGTGTGGTGTGTTGTGTGTCGTGTGTTGTGTGTCGTGTGTCGTGTGTTGTGTGTCGTGTGTCGTGTGTTGTGTGTTGTGTGTTGTGTTGTGGTGTTGTGTGTTGTGTTGTGGTGTGGTGTGGTGTGTTGTGGTGTGGTGTGGTGCACGTTTGTTCGTTGAGCCAGGGGTGTAACACACCGCACCCAAACCTTAAGCTGTTCGAGGTCAGAATGTACGAGGCACAAAAGCCAGCAGCGGCGATTGCAGAGTCCCGAAGCAGGCCGAACCATGGGTTAGGGTTTAGGGCTTAGGGTTTAGGGTTTAAGCATGTAGCGGGGCTGGGGGTGGGGGTGGGGGTGGGCGTGGGGCGAAAGTGGGGTCCCTTTAACATGCCCAAAACTCGCATACTGTGTCAAGATGTGAACACGGCAGGCGTCATGTCACAAGCGTTCATGCCTTTGACGAGCATGCACCAAAACACTCGTGGTTGCAGTGTTTTGCTTCTTTGCACGACATACTTCACAAGGAGTTTCTGGAAGACACGATGTCACTAGCGTTCATCCTTTGGTGAACATGCCCAAAACACTGGAGTTGACGTCGTTCTAGCTCCCTGCCCAACATACTGCACCAAGATATGGAACAAGACGAGCCGTCATAAGCGTTCTTGTCGTTGGCGAACATGCCCACAATGCTGGCAGCTACAGTGTTCTACGTGTTCTTTCATAACTCAAAACATGTTGAACAAGGATTTTTGACGTTTCTGGAACACGACACGCTGTCACGAGCATCCATTCCTTTGGTGATCTTGCCCAAAACGGTTGTTTTCTGCGATTCTGCCCCTTCGTCCAAAATGCTGCACAAGAATGTTTGACGCTTCTAGAACACGACGTGCTGTCACAAGCGTTCATGCCTTTCGTGTACATGGCTCGTGAAATGTTCTTCGTGTTCAACTACTCGCGAGTCCCTTTCGAGAAACACACTCTCTTCGTCATGTAATCTTCCAAAATCGCTACACCTGCCATCATTTCAAGCATCCAACCTAGCCCCCAAGTCCTTCCCGTAAAAGGAATGCCCCCCCCCCCCCCTCCCCCTCCCTCCCCCGCACCATTCAGCATTGTTTCTGACGATGGTTTTCTGCCGTATATGCTGGTGTGTTGAAGGACATGAAGCACCGTCCTCAGCACTGTCTTCAATCCTCGCAAGTGTTTTTTTGGCAAATTCGTGACTCAGTTCCCGAGATCGTTTAAAGAGGATGCGGCTGGGCGCCCCGAGCTCCTGAGCACAGTCTGCAGGTACTGTCTGAGGGAGATGGTTTTATTTTGATGTGTTTACATTGCATATTTTATTCTGTTATATTATGGAACAAAGATATAATTTTCTGCATTGTACATGACATATTATAAGTTCGGCGCACAGGACTGTGAATTTGCAGACTTCTGGGTGTTCAAAGTGGTGCCGTGCCAAGTGCCAAGACGCTTGTGCAGATCACCCTCCCAAGCCCCAGTTGAGCCCTAAACCCTTAAACCCTTAAACCCCTACATCCCTAAACCCCTAAACTACTAAACCCATAAACCCTGAACCCCTAAACCCCTAAACCCTAAATCCCTAAACCATGAACCCCTGTCAACCCCTATCAGCCCCGAAACCCTTAAACCCTAAACCCCTAAAAAGCTGCCACGAGGTGCGAAACAAAGTTCGGAGCTTTCAGTCTTGGAACTCGGAGACCTGGCATCTCGGTAGACTCAGAATTCCCCCCCCCCCCCCCCCAGCTTACATCATTTTAGGGTTTAGGGCTTAGGGTTTAGGGTTTAGGGTTAAGGTTTAGAGTCTAGGGTTTAGGGCTTAGGGTTTAGGGTTAGGGTTTAGGTTCAAGGGTCTAGGGTTTAGGTTATGGTTCGGTATTTGGGGTTCAGGGCTGGATTGCTGTTATCTACTTTAGAGCAGCAAAGGCGAATCTACTTGCTAGATCCCTTTCTCGTGGGTCTGGCAGAGTTCCACGCGTGTTCCGCCGACTGGGGGGTTTCTGAAAACAGGGATACCCTTTCTGGGGAGCCCTAAACCCTAAACCCTAAACCCTAAACCCTAAACCCTAAACCCTAAACGTCCCCCGAAAGGAGATTCGATTCTTTTTGCATGTAGAAGGGGTACCCCTGTCTTGGGAAATGCCCACTTTGAGACATGGACTTCAGGGGTTTGAGAGGTGAGGGTTCCCTAAACCCTAAACCCTAAACCCTAAACCCTAAACCCTTATACGGGTTTAGGGGGTTCCTTTCCTGGCCAAGGCAGGATGCGCCAACAGGCGTCGCCTTGAGCCCAACCCGCGAAGATCACGCTGCTCGCATGCCAGGAGTCATTGTGCATTCAGGGTTTAGGGTTTAGGGTTTAGGGTTTAGGGTTTAGGGTTTAGGGTTTAGGGTTTAGGGTTGCGCAGGGCTTAATTCGGGAAGATTAGGGGCATTTTAGGCCTTCACGTACATAGTGTTAGACCCTAAACCCCTAAACCCTAAACCCTAAACCCTAAAAGTGGCTTTAGGGGTTTTTAGGAGGTTTAGGGTCGAGTTGGAGAACCTTTCTTCAGGGGGAGTGCCAGGAAGAAGGGAAGACGCCAAGCCGGAATTCGAGGGTGCGTCACGGCATTCTATCCCTAAACCCTAAACCCTTCTGTACCCCCTAAACCCTTAATCGCCTAAACCCTAAACCCTAAACCCTAAACCCTAAACCCTAAACCCATCTGAGCCGGGCCTCCAAGGATCGACATGTGAAGAAGGTTAGCGCCTTCTTGCACAAGGAGGGGGGTTTTCCGAAATTAGGGGCACCCTTCTTGGGGCCCGAAGGAGTTTAGGGTTTAGGGTTTAGGGTTAAGGGTTTAGAGTTTAGGGTTGAGGGTTGAGGGTTGAGGGTTGAGGGTATAAAAGGGGTACCCCTGGGGGAAGCACCCAGGTGGACATGGCGCCTAAGGGCTTCGAGAAGATGATCAAGAGCCGACGGCGTTTGGTCTAGGGGTCTAGGGTTTTGGATTTTGATTTTCCTACGCGCCCCCCCTTGGGACGCGCGCGAGGCTCCGCAAGAAGGCGCAGTCGATCTCCGTCCCCCCGAAAGCATGCCGGACACGCCCTTTGGACATTTTGGATTTCCCCTTACTGGGTTTACGAGGCTCATATTCAGGAATAATTTTCTGAGGGCGTTAAGGGCCGGACAGGCTGTTCATCGGCTTTTTGCCAACACCCCGAGGCAATGGATATTCCCTTATATGGTCCCTGGATAAAACCCCCCAAAACACTGTTCTACTTATGAAGGCCCCTATATTACCGTGCTTCGAGGACAGCTTCATAGCCTGTCCATTTTCCCTAGCCCTTTAGTGTCCCTGATTAGCTAGCTTCCCACCCCTCCACCGAACGACCCTTCAGTTCTTCGAGTTTCTCACTCGTTTCGGGGCGGGGAGAAACACGTTAACTCCCAGCGTGTCGATCTAAAGCTTGCAGCAGCTTGCTGTTCGTCTAGGAATCCACACAGGGAGGGTACCCTAAACCCCTCAACCCCTAAACCCCTAAACCCTAAACCCTCAATCCCCCCAAAGAGGGCCCCATGAGCTTCAACAGATAGGTTTGGCTTTTCCAGAGCTGGCCGGGGGTGCTGAGACGACATTTTTGCATGGCCAGGTCCCGCTTCTTGGTCCCTGCAGTTGCACGATTTCCCCCTTTGGGAGTTTTTTTTGTTCATAAAAAAAGCCCAAGAGGATATTAAGAATAATACTTTTTATTAAGGTTCTAAGGGGAAGAGTGCAAGCTCTGAGAGATGTTGTGAGAGCTTCGGGTTTCGGGTGCAGGCTCAAACGACTGATGTCCATCCGCCTTATAAATCAGAATTATTCAACAACAGCATTCAGCATCAATATGTATCTGTATATATATATATATATATATATTATTTATTTATTTATTTATTTATTTATTTATTTATTTATTTATTTATTTATTTATTTATTTATTTATTTATTTATTTATTTAATTATTTATTTATTTATTTATTCATTTGTTTATGTATATATTTACTTATTCATGTATTTATTTAGGTATTTACGTACTGTTTATACATGTTATTCCACTCGCTGATGATGAACTGATACCAGGTCATTTTCTGCCCGAGGCTTCTTACTTTCCAATCAGGCTTCATCGCATCAGCTGCGAGGTGGATGAACACGTTTACGCCCGTATACGGGGGGTTTCCGACCCTTTAAGGGGAGTCCGTTCTATTTGGGGTAGACAAGGGGGGCACCCCTATGTTGCGAAATGCCCCGAAATCCCATATGCCGTTGTGGGAATATCACAGACAGGCAGAGCAACTGCAGCTGCATGGACAAGACGCTCTTTTTTCTCTGAGCGGCAGCATGATTTTACCCGCTGCCCAAGACGAGATCGCTGCAGACCCTTGAAGGCGCAGATGGCGCTTTCCGAAAATAGGGGTACCCTTCTTGGGGGGGTCCCTTTAAGGGGATTCTATTCTATTTGGGGTTTCAAAGGGGTACCCTTATTTTGGGAAAATCCCAAATCAACCCGAATTTTAAGTCTTCTGCGTGACCTTGTCTGACCTTCAGGCAGTTGCCGAGTGCGGCATTTGCATATTTCCCCGCGGCAAGGACCCCAACACCCCTTGACCCTTGACTAAACCCTCATGATTTATTGAGTGTTCCTGGATGAAGGGGGAAGGTCGCGCAGTGTGTGCCCTTTGGCCGGTTGCATTCGCAGCGCCCCTTTTCCAGCCCGGAGAGCCTTTGTTTTAGTGTACCAAAGAAGGGTCACAATAAAGGGTCATAGTGTAGAGCAACCCCCCATGGAGTCGAAGATTTCTCCAATGAAGGGGTTTAGGGTTTAGGGTTTAGGGTTTAGGGTTTAGGGTTTAGGGTTTAGGGTTTAGGGTTTAGGGCCCAGAGAGGGTGCTTATGGCCGGGCATGTCATCCACGCGCTGAAAGCGCCACCATTTTTATCCCTGAGCGCATCAGAGAGGCATCATCTGCATGAAGTTGAGAGTGTTTTGAGGGTTGTGAATACCCTCCCAACATGATATAAAGAAAGCAGTCGCTAAGACATAGACAGATGACCATATGGACCATCTGCAATATCTAACAGTACTACTATGTAAGACTATATATCAGTACACCACAATACATCAAAATACATATCAGTACATGGACCCAACCATATACGCAGCACTACATAGCAAATAGTAGTATATAAAAGCATCAATGCACGAAAGCCCGCTAAATTTCATGAATGTGTCATTTTTAGCTGGGGATGTCGTGCGGTCACCTAACTGTGCCTGTGCGAGATTTTGCAGGTGGTTTCCACAGCTTTCGCTAGGGGTCCGTTGAGCTGCTGTTGCAAGCAGCCAGGTTCTCGCTTTTTCTTGCTCGATGAAATGACGCCTTTTCGGACCCCTATCTTCAGCAACGCCCATTGTGGGATGAAAGCAGCTCTGTAATCTGTGCAATTTGGGGTGTAGAGTTTAGGGCTTGCGTTTTCCCCTTGCTTACAGGGTTGAAGTGGTCTTGCAGTGAGCAACGTGCAGAGAATGCTTCAACCGGCATTTGCCGAATGTGTTTAATGCCGCTGAGAGCCATGTGGCTGCGAGCTTGGCGCTTGCCGATTTTGTCCCTTTTGAGAAGTTTGTGGGTTGGACTGCTTGAACAAGGGTGATGAAGCCTTCATGGATCATGGCTCTTTGCGCTTCTTGACGTGATTTAAGCCTCAGAGGCAGGCAGGTTCGAGTCTCGACGAGTGCGCGGAAGGATCTGTAGAGCCAGCTCGCGGAACGTTGAAGTCCAATTGCAAGGCAGCACAGTCCTTCCAGATCCCGACGCTGGGAGTGCATGCATACCCGAGGGCCTTTCGGAAGCTATGAATTTGCTGCGCGCAGCTCATCTGACATATGTTAAATACACTCAGGTGCATGAGCAAGTTTAGGGTGAAGACATAGCAGGATCTGAGAAACACGGCCAACGGAATTACATGCACCGGCCGTCGGTGTAGTTCGTTGGGACTCCCCGCACACGCCACAATCTTGTGAATCCTCGGACAGTCGGAGAAAAAACACTCTCGAGTGCAATGCATCCTCCTCGCGCTTGTTGTGTGCCACTTCAGGGGTTTAACTTCGGGATTCGATACTCAATCTCCTCAGGGACGACCCCAAACTAAGCCCTACATCTCTCAACCCTATCCCCTGACCTCCGACACCAACTTTCTGCATGTGGTTTAGGGTTTAGGGTTTAGGTGCAGTAGAACAACGCAAGTTTGTTTCCTCCACATCATTCTGTCCTCACAGAAGATATGTACACTAGCAAGAAATGTAACAAATGTATTTGCATAATAGCCGTCACAATATCATAATGTGTTAATGGTTGCTGAATCTGTTGCAGGGAGCGGTTCGAAAGAAACAAGGGTTTTCAAGTTGACACTTAATTACGTGCCGTAGTGTGCGTTCACAGCTGCTGCAGCACGCTCTTACTTTTCGCAAGATGCTGAGTGGGGTTTTGCCAAAGGCGGGGTCCCACCCCGACACCCTTGTCCCCAAACCCTGAACCCTCAACCCCCAACGATAAGTGATCTCCTGAAGCCCTGACCATCCCCAAACTCTTAACATTCCCGCACCCTAAACCCCCTGAACCCTAGGCCCTAAAGCCTTAAACCCAAACCTTAAACACAATTAATGCAAGCCCCAAGCCTTCTAGTTAAAAAGGGACACTAAATCCAATATGCGTCTACCACATATGCTGAGTTGCCTCTCAGCCGGCGCCAACCAGCAGTTGGAGAGGCCGACCCACTGCTGGGCCTTCCGGAGAAGTTTCAGGCAGCAGTTTGAGAAGCCTAATCACTTCTGAGCCTTCCGGGAGGGTTTAGGCAACAGTTTGATAGGCCAAAGCACTTCTGGGCCTTCCGGAGGCGGTTTGGGCAGCAATTTGAGAGGCCTAATCATTCTGGGCCTTCTGGAGAAGACTTAGGCATCAGTTTGAGAAGCTTACTCCCTTATCACAGAGGCCGTAGCGAGCAGGGTGTGTCCATCGTGCTGCGCCAGATAGATCCGTTGTATTCGGCACTCTCAGGGGGTGGCTCTGTCCATGAGCCATGGCGTTTGTTAACAGGGCCGCGTCGGATTGCAGGCCGATTACAGCGACGACGCGCTTGTGGCAAGGAGTGCCCCCGCCAGGCACCCCTCCAGCATGAACAGGCTTGTTCCTGCCGGTTGTTCCAGGCACTTTTCCAACAGAAACCGGAGTGTCCCTGCCGGGGAAGAACTGACACGAAGAGGCCTCCGCCCTATGCTGCGACGAGCACTGTCACAAGGGTGAGGGGCAGACCAGAAACCTAAGCAGCAAACCTCAACCCTATATGCAGAATCCTGCACACCCGCTGACTGCTACCACGCACAGAGCTGCACACAGACGAGCCCGCCAGGCTGATCAACAAGACGCCTTCGCGGAGCCCCGCAGCGCTATGTGCATAATAGGCAAGTGGATGTAAGGGAGCATTTTGAGGGAAGGGAATGCTACTAAAGGACAATTTAACACTACACCTCAGCTAACCCAGCACGCTTGCACCGACTGGCAAGACCGTTCGTTTGTTAGTCGCCGTTGGTTTGGGGAGCGGCCAGCAGACCTCAACAGCGCGATCCTAAGCCCTCCTACACCCAAAACGCAGGACAACGTGCAGAATTGCGTCTCACACAGACGCATGAGTTGCGACTCACACAGACGCATGAGGCTTGCGCAGTGTGTGCAAAACGACAGTATTAAGGCTGCACCCCAACCCGCCTGGCACGCTAGGGGAAAGTGCCCGACAGGACCTGGGCATGGACCTGGGCAGCCTGACCCGGAAGGGCCTGTGCACCTTGAGCCTGTGCATGTGCGGGCACCTGCAAGCACGCCTGACCCGGAAGGGCCTGTACACCTTGAGCCTGTGCATTTGCAGGCACCTGCAAGCACGCCTGACCCGGAGGGGCCTGTGCA